AATCTTTTTGGGCTGTTGATCCAAATCCTATGTTGTTGTAGATGGCGTTTTAGTGTAGAAACATTTTTTGGAGGGTTTCTATCTGCTCTTTGCCAAATGGATATGATTCCTTAGTGGAGATGACTTCATCAATAGAGGTGTGACTTGCTTTGTTTGTGGTCTTTAAATCAGTTGGTTTTTAATAAATTTTATAGCAACTCTCTCAAGTATGACTTAGTCTTTTGAATGATCACACCAAGATCTTTCATTTCTTTGCCAATTGTCTGAGTTGGGATGATGGCCCGGGGTAGTTAAGATAGAGTTTTGCTCAGTAATAGGACTCGTGAATCCATCTCCCAACATTAATTTTTTTTCTACTTTCTTTTTCCCTTCCTTTAGAAAGTATCTCATGAATACTAGGTGATGATTTCATTTCAAGTATTCTTTATCAGATTTAAATCCAAATTTTTATTCAATCCCATAAAAAGCTTGAAAATTATTTTTCTTTTCAAAATTTCATTGTATTATTTTGCATCATCTTAATGGCTCTACGCAAATTTCTCAAAAACATTGAACCATTAGTAGTGATTGGTATGCATACCATTGCATTGAGTTACAAATAAATCTCTTTGTTGCAGGTCGTGAAGGCTAGATTCATCAGTAAAATTTTTTGATATGTTTTGTTTGCTCAAGTAGAATTGCTTGGCTATTTCTCAAATTTAGTGTGCCATCCCTTATAACAAGAAATTCTTACCGATATCGTGTGTCATAGAGTTAATCATCTTGATCAATTAAGTGTCATGTTTTCTTTGCTTGGTGCTAGATTGAGTGATTTCTCCGGGGAGGTATTCTTTTCTCTCCCTTTCGTAGATAAATATCTTGACTGATTGAGATCATTGGTAGTTGCTTTGTTTACCTTGTGGCTTTGGTGATTGGAATTTGAGTGGTTTATGATTCAGGTGGTTTGATAGAAATAATTTCTATACCAAGATGTGATTTCTGAGTGGTTACTGGTTCTTGCTGTGTTCATTCTATATTTAGTCATCAGGAAGAGAGAGAGAAAAAATTTTTTTAGGGTGGTTCAGAGATTCTACTCCGGTGCCATAAAAATTTGTAATTAAATTTTATGTTTATTTAATTTTTATTCATAATACTTATTTTACAATATTTGAATATATATATAAGAAAATTAAAGAGAGTTTTAATTGAAAACTAAATACAAGTCGGTCTTATAAAAGAAAAAGATCTTTTAGTTATGAAAGTCAACTATGATTCTGGTTTATAGGGAGATTTTATTAAAAATACAAATCTATCTAGGAATTGAACTTACAAGAAGTCGGATTCCTATGCTACATAACCTTTAAGGCTTCAGTTTCATTAATTTGATGTCTTTACCATGTTTATTATTTTTCTCCTTGGTAAATCCTTTTTTGGCCATTTGAATTTCAATTTTTTTTTTAAGTTATAATTGGAGATACCTGTTTCAAAACTCCTCAATGTTTACAGGTGGGACCAGGTTCTATACTTCAAGCTCCCCTGGATGATGATATGGGCAGAGATGTGTGAGTATTGAATTTTTGTTCTTGATTATTGGTGAGGTCTTTTTTGTCGGTACATGTAATTGTTCCCCGAGCTTCAGATTACCTCTTTGATCTTTCAATTTAATTCCTGTTTGTAGAGTCACACAATCCCTTTGTGAGAGTCAGACATGTCCAATAGATTTAATAACTCCTCCAGATGATTGCCATGTCAATTATACACTATCCTTCTCACTTCAGGTAAAGGGTCACAATTCGAATAAAAATTATTTTGCTGATTCTTTTGCTCTCTTTTTGTTTGTTTGTTTTTTTTTTCTTTCTTTGTATTTATAAATTATAGATGGTGCTTCAGTATGATTAACGTGCTCAAACAATTGCAATAAGAGCTAACATTTTTTCTATTGCCAATGGAGACGCTCTAAAAAGCTTCAACTTTGAGTTCTTGCAAAGTATCCAATATTTTCACAACTTTTTACAATTTTTTTTGAAATAAACTTTGACCAAAAATTTATATCGTACTCAATATTTAACTAACAATAATTATCATAAATGCAATCATTACCTAGAGAACTTTTAATGTCTACAATATCTTCAGTGTATTGATATTAGATACAAACTAATTGTGGAAATATCTCAATACTCTATGCACCATAAGAAGAGAAAACTTGTGTAACACAATCTTGTTATTGATAGCTTATATGATGCATTATATCTAAAAGCTTATTGGATTCCAGGTCAAAGCTGTTACCTATAACTATGACCCTTTCAAAAGTGACCGTAGTGCATGAATTTTCCTAACTAACCTTACGAGTAGATAAAACATGTTGAAGTATCTCATCAACTGGTTTGAATTGGTAAAAAACCAATCTAGAAGAGACTGAACTGGACTGGTAAAACCAAATATGAGAATAGGCCAAACATGAGATTTACACTTGTAGGGACTTTTTTAATTGGATTAGTCGGATGTGGTATGAAAATTAGTTTCTTAATTAATAGGTTTTTGGTGGAAGGTGGGTAGCAGGGAGGCTTTGATACCTATTGATGTAGGACAAGTAGCTTTAATGCTGTCTTGTCCTGACATAATTTAGAAATGGAGAAAATTTGACCGGGAAACAAATAGACAGGTAGTAAGAAATTTGATATTAAAGTGGATAAATATAGTGAGAAGTAAACTAAACAAGTTAGGTTAGATAATGACTAGAAGGATGAAAGCAGAGAGAGAACAAGGAATAAAATTCTAACACTAATTCTCAATTCTTCATCCTTTATTCTTTATTGTTGATGGTTATGGGAAATCAATGGTTAGTCTTCCCTGTACGTGTAAGCTATTTCATCAATAAAATTATGAATAAAGACGTACCGAAGAGAAAAGGTTCAGAGTATCTAAGTCTTCAGATCAAAGGGTTCTCTTCAACAAGCCGTAAACCCAAATAATACTTATTTTAACCTCAGTAAACTCATAGCTAGATCTCAAATCCAGGACAGTAACATGTTATTATCAGAGCAGGGAGTCATGGTAGACAGGAAAAACTTCCAACAAAAGTTTGAGGCTTTTCTTAAAACTCATACCATGAAGATTGGATCCGGATGGATGAAAGATAGTGATGGTTAATAGTGCAGATTAAGGGCCTATTAAATAGCTGATCATAGCCAAAGTTGAAGGTATTGGCACCATTGTTGTGGTCAGCAGTAACAACCACTAGGATAAACAGCCTTTTGCAATCGGATAAAGGGAGGGGGAATTATCCCACTGTTCGCCCAGAGTGAACTTTTCATGTTTAGATGGGACCATAAGCCCATTGGACTCTGGTTTAAATACCATGACTAGCCAAAGGATTTTAAAGAATCTCCTAAAAAAAATCATCTCCTAAAGTCACATCAAAAGCTGTAGTTAATGATATTGTAAATTGGCTTGGAGCAGTTATTAGCTGCTTGGGTAAATGTTTGTGCAAAAAATTGCCTGATTGAGAAGCTTGCCAAATTTTTAGAAAAACTTGTTACTGGTTGGGAGAGTTTAAAAATGAAGTTTTAACATGGAAACAAAAACTTGAGGTTGCAGTTCAACAAAATTTGTCACTTCAATATCAGGTTACCCATCTTGATGGGGCTGTCAAGAAATGTGTTAGATAGCTAATGCAAGCAAGAGAGCAACAGTAGCAAACAATCCGTGAAGTTGCAATGAAAAGGAAGCATGAGCTGGAGTCTACTTGAACTTAGATACCAGATTTAAAAGTAAGTTGGACTCCTATATGCAACATATGGATGACCTCCAAAACTTGGCCTTTTTCTTTTGGGTGGCTCTTTACTCTAGGCTTTCTTCATTTCTCGTGTATGGTGCTTGAGACTAGCAGCTTACTAATAAGGGGGGTAATGTTATAGTCAATAACAAAAAAGCAAAAAGACGCAAAAGAGGACTCATGATCCAAATACAGGAAAGCACGGTGGCATCTAAAGCTAGTTGCTGTTTTAGCCAATGGTTTTGTTTAGGAACTATTTAGGAATAAAAAAGAGAAGGAATTTAAGTTATTTAGAGATAAAATTAAATAAAAAGTTGAGTTACTCTGGAATAAAATAAAATATGAAATTTAGCTGTAATGGAGAGCGGTTATTAATGTATAAATAAAGTAGTAGTTAAGTTATTCTGGAATAAAGAAATTATTTGGAACTCAGTAGTAACGTTCTCCTCTATATATGTAAGCAATTCATTAATGCTATTATGAACAAAAAAATTATGTCTAAGAAAAAAAAAAAAGATTTTGAAGTACCTACTCTAGGTATCAAATGGTTCTCTCTGACGATTCCTAAACCAATTCTCCTTCTTTCACCCTTACTAAATCCATGACTAAATCTCAATCAGTAAATTATTGATTAAATCTCAGACTCAAGACCATAATGCATTACTCTTGAATCAATGAGAAGTAAGACAAGTTGGCCATTATAGAGTTGTAACCATCTATTGACTGAGAACAGGTTACACGAGTTGGTCACTTGGGATTGCCACCAATTTTGGGCCAATAAAAGGTCCACAGAAAGCATGGTGTTACATCATGCTACTAATGCTAAGATGCCATGTCATCCTAAGAAAAACCAAACAAAAAGTAGGGCTGTTAGAATATTATAGAATATCTCTATACATAATAGGTTGATTATGTTTCTAAATGTATTAAACTAATTAGGAAAGAAATTAATAGGGTAATTTATATTAGTTACTGTATATGGTTCCATTTACATGTATATATATATATATCCCTACTTTCATTTCAATAAATATAAGAAATATTTAGTATTTTTTCCTAATTATTTACATGGTATCAGAGATAGAATTAGAGTTTTCAAAGGTCAAATTAGATCATACCACATAAGGGTTGAACAACCCATTTCCGACACTAGAGGAAGTCAACCACTGTCCTCTGATCAGTTCAGATCGCGGTCGGCATGGTAGTGCACGCAGAAGAGGCGGACAAAGCTATTATTCGGCGGTTCCAAGTCATCATGCATCGGGTGAACAGAAGGAGGTTGGTTCGCGTGCCGGATGAGTTTGACATGAGGTCAAAACAAGAAGAAATGTTCAATTGGCTTGTTCTAAGCAAGAAACCAGAAGACTGGAGTGGAGGAAGTCGCGGCGGAGAAGATCCCGCGACAACAAGTTTTCTTCAGTTTTCGGTGCAATTTGAGGTATTTTTTGCGAGCCCCTTCTGCATTTCGATTGTCCGGTGGGGTCTGTGGTGATTTCCAGCCAAACGGAGGCATTTCAATGATTTCTGATGGCGGTGGCGAGTGTTGTTTCAACGGCGGCATGTGAACTCTGGCGGCAACGTTTGTGGCGGTGGTCAGTTTCTGGTGGTGATAGTGTGCTTCTGTTAGTTTTTTGTGTGTGAAGAGGTGCTCTGTTTCTCTTAAGATTTCTAATATATTTGCAGTATTTTTTGTGTATCTCTACCTAATTTGTTCAAATATTTTAGATAATATTTGTTCAATATTCTAAATTAAAATGGATGATAACAAATTTTCTGTAAGTGAAATAATCCCAGCCATGTCAAAGATCACTGAACATAAATTAAATGATACAAATTATCTGAAGTAGAGATAAGAGTTTATCTATGCAGTATTGATAAAGATGATCATTTGACTCAAGATCCTCTCACCGATGGAACTAGACAAGTATGATTAAGAGATGATGCACGGTTGTTTCGATTAGAAACTCAATTGACAGTGAGGTAATTGACTTAATTAATCACTGCGAGTCTATTAAAGAATTGATGGATTATTTACAATTTTTGTATTTTGGAAAAGGCAATATGTTCCATATGTATGATGTATGTAAGACCTTTTATCGTGCTGAGAAGGAGGACAAATCTCTCACAGCTTACTTTATGGAATTAAAAAAGGCTTATGATGAGCTTAATGTACTTTTGCTATTTAGTACTGATATCAAAATACAACAAACATAGAGAGAGCATATGACCATAATGAGCTTCTTGGTTGGTCTTCTACGTTGATTTGAGACTGTTAAATCTCAAATTTTATCTGATTCCGAGATCACATTTTTTTAGGAAGTTTTCAATAGTGTTACACACAGAGAATATTACACCCAATTAGCATCCTAATGTTCTTGTTTACAAAGGAGGAGGAAGAAATAATAACATGGGAGGAAACAGAGCAATGGATAGTCGGAACAATGATTCAAATAATATTGTTTGTTATTACTGTCATAAACAAGGACATACAAAATGACAATGTCCGAAATTATAGAATCGGAATCAGAGAACACAAACTGCTAATATTGCAACTGTTGCTACTGGTAGCTCCTCTTCTGAGAAAACTATTATGGTTTCAGCCGATATGTATGCAAAGTTCTCTCAGTTTCAAGAATTTTTGAAAGAATACACACCAACCACTATTTTTCCCTGAATCAGGTAAAATATGTTTTATCTTCTTATCAAATAAATGCGTGATTGTTTCTAACATTATAGATCACATGACAGGTAACTCTAATATCTTCTCTAGCTTTCAATCACACAGAGTACCCTCTTCTGTAACTATTGTTGATGGGTCAACCTATAATATTGAGGATTTTGAGACTATAAAACCAACTATCTTCATTATCTTGACATCTGTTTTTAAGTTTACTTAAAGTTGCTTTCAATTTAATTTCAGTAAGTAGATTTACGAAAGAACTTAATTGTTGGGTCTTATTCTTCTCTGGATATTGTCTTTTTAAGAATCTTATGACCAAACAAATTATTGGCAAAGGACATGTATTAGAAAGTCTTTACATTCTTGATAGTTGGGTGCCTCGACCAGTTGCTCGCTATAGTGTGATCTCTCCATTTGAAGCACATTGTTAGTTGGAACATCTATATCTCATTGTATTAAAAAAGTTGTGTTCTCAGTTTTATGATATATCTTCATTAGATTGTGAATTGTGTCAATTTGCAAAATATTATCGTAATTCGTCGAGTTCAAGAATTAATGAACGAGATGAGTCTGCTTTTGAATTAGTTCATTATGCTATATGGGGTCCATGTCCTGTTATGTTGAAAACAAGGTTTAAATATTTTGTTATTTTTGTGAATGATTTTTCTCGAATGATTTGGATGTACTTTATGAAAAATCATTTTGAAGTGTTTACTCATTTTCGTACTTTTCATGCGGAAATCAAAACTCAATTTAATATGTATGTGCATGTACAAAGAAGTGATAATGTCAAATAATATATGTCATATTTATTTTAGAATTACATGATTTAACATGAGATTCTTCATCAGTTTTTGTGTGTCGATACACCATCTCAAGACGGGTTGCTGAAAGAAATAACAGACATTTATTTGAGACTGTTCGCGCTCGTTTATTCCAGACATGGGTTCCTAAGCAATTCTGGGCCAATGTTGTATCCACTGCATGTTTATTGATTAATCACCTACCATCTACAGTACTTGAAGTGATATTTCTTACAATATTTTTTTCCAAACAAGTCATTATTTCCAGTACAGCCGCGGGTATTTAGCACTGTTTGTTATGTTCGAGATGTGCAACCTAGTATTACTAAGTTAGATCCCAAAGCCTTGAGGTATATTTTTTTAGAATATTCTCGCTTACAAAAAGGATATCGGTGTTACTCTACAGACCTCAAGTGACCAAACTTACCTGTATTCGTTTATTCATATCTATTGCAGCCTTCCGAAATTGGCCCTTACACAAGTTAGACATTAAAAATGCATTTTTTCATGGTGATCTCTTAGAAAAAATGTATATGAAGCAACCACTTGTATTTGTTGCTCACGGGGAGTACGGAAAAGTTTGTTATTTGAAAAAATCTCTGTATGGTTTGAAACAGAGTCCCCACGCGTGGTTTGACAAGTTCAGTGAGTTAGTCTGTGAGTTCGGTTTGAAGAAGAGTAAGTGTAATCATTTAGTTTTTTACAGACAATCAACATCTGCTTTTATACTTATTGTTGATGATATTGTAATTACAAGAGATGATCGTACTAGAATATCCTCTCTCAAGTCATTTTACATACTAAGTTTAATACCAAAGACTTGAAACAGTTAAAATACTTTTTGGGGGTGGAAGTAATAAGAAGTAAGGAAAAAATTTTGTTGTCTCAGAGGAAGTACGTACTTGATCTATTTGCAGAAACAGAAAAGCTGGGAGTTAAGTCATGTAATACACCAATGATACTAAATGTACATCTTACAAAAAATGATGGTGATCCCCTTGATGATCTGGAGAAATACAGACGACTAATTAGAAAATTGAATTACCTTACTGTAACTGTGCAGATATTGCATATACTGTCAGTGTTGTAAGTTAATTTATGTCTGTATTTACAGTCAAACATTGGGAAGTTGTGCAACATATTTTGTGCTATTTAAAAGATGACTCGGGACTTGGCATAGTCTTTAGAAATTATGGACATACTCACATTGAATGTTTTACTGATACTGGTTGGGTTAGATCTAAGGTTGATAGAAGATCTACTACGAGATATTGTGTTTTTGTTTGTGAAAATCTCGTATCATGGAAAATTAAGAAGCAAACAGTTGTATCTCACTCAAACACAGAGTCTGAATATAGAGTTATGACCCAATCCAAATGCGAAGTCTTATGAATACATCATCTTTTAGATGAAGTGTGTTTGAAGTCCACATCTCCTGCAAAACTCTGGTACAATAATCAGACTGTCCTTTATATTGCCTCAAATCATGTATATCATAATAGAACCAATCATATCAAGATTGATTGTCATTTCATCCGAGAGAAGGTTCAGGAAAACTTCATATTTACTGGTTATGTGAAGACAGAAAAACAAGATGGTAATATATTCATAAAACTTATGAATAGAACACGGATTGAATACTTCGGAACAAGTTAAACATAATTAATATCTATACTTAAGTTTGAAGGGGAAGTGTTAGAATATTATCAAATTTCTCTATATATAATAGGTTGATTATGTTTTCAAATGTATTAAACTAATTAGAAAAAAAATTAATAGGGTAATTTATATTGGTTACCATATATGGTTCTATTTACATGTTTATATATCCCTATTTTTATTTTAATAAAATATAAAAAATATTCGATATTTTTCTCTAATTATTTACAAGGGCCAAGTTAGCTTTCACATTTACCTAATATGATCTCTATACCCTATGTAATATAACAACATACAAAAATACTAAAATTATATAAAAAAGTTATAAATTCTAACTCTAGAATTATTCCAGTGTGGGTATTGGCATTTTGCATCACGAAGCCCTTAGCTGGGTTTAAAACCTTGGTTTTGATGTTCTTGACTTGGCTCATAGCGTAATACATGTGTGTGGTTAACATGGTATGCAGGTGGGTGGATAGCCCACCTGCTCATAATCTGTTTTGTGCACGTGTCTATCTAGGAATATGGGCATGTATGCACATGCAGAAAATT